CTTTTATATTCAGCTTAATTTCTGATTTTAAATAATTATGAACCTATGTGCAAATTTTAGCTATTAACCGCTTTTATTCCATTTGAAGTAGATTAAACGTCGTTTAAAACATATCTTTGGATCGCGCCACATGAAATGCACCCGCAACCCGGAACACATTTTATTCAACCTTGTTGGAAATTAGAGTCAGGTCACATGAAATGCACACCCGAGTCTCTTTAATCTAATTTGACGTAGTTTAGCCAACGAATAACAACCCAATCTCTGCACCGTGACAAAGTCATGTTCAGCTATTACCAATTCGAGTGACATGGAAGTAGATAACTATGCGAACAAACTCAAAACTGGAAATAATAACTGAATAGATCACAACATCAAATTGTCACATAGCCAATTAACATTCAGCTAGAATAAAAGGAGCAGAATCGAATGCAATGGCCATTAAGTCCAATGCATAAAAAAACAAAGAACGAATCTGATTTTAAAGAAACTATCCCTATGTCATCAAGCCATTACACTCAATTTGCTCAATTACAAAGAGGAATTATCAAACAAACAGAGTCAATTACATGTCTTTATTGGCTTTTTCCTCCTCCACAGAAAATACACGTTAGAAAGATCCCCATGTAGCACTTTAAACACACATAAAATAACAACTCAAGAAGCTCAATTACACAAAGTTAGAATCAGTATTTTGTCACTAGGAATTTCTAATTATCTGGACGTTCTTTCAATTATAAAGGAATTTCACAAAGTCAAAACCAAATAATGTACAATCTACTAAAATATCATATTCATGACATCAAGCTACTTTGGGCAACCAACAGAGATAACACATTTAATTTCAATATTCAAGCTATTTATAAGATCAAGCAGCACGATAAAAGAGATTAGAGGAACAGAGCAAGAGTTGGACCTCAAATGTACAGCAACAAATCGTTTGGATCTCGCGGACCACATACGAAGACCTCGACGAACAACCTCACCTCCGACAGTACCTTAATCGCGATTTCGAAACAGATTGAATGGGCGATATCTGTAATAAACCAAGCGAAGCTTGAAACCATATTCACGTGCCTCTCATGCTCACAAAAACTCGACGAGTTTGCTATTGTCCCTTTCCCGTTCTGTGCATGGATGTGGCTATGTGTAAGTGTTTTCCGGCGAGAGAGAGATGAGTGTCGTGTTTTTCGTGACAGCATGGAAGGGAGGAGACCGGCTACTGTCGTGCATGGCTGTTCATGGTGTAGGCTGGTCGTTTGTGACGTGAAGCTTCGCTGGAGATGGCAGCTTTACAGTGAACGGAGGTCCGGCGACGGCGACTGTTTGTTTGGTGTCTCTAATGGTTGCTTCGGATCTTCAAGATTGGGGTCCTCTAAGGTTTTCTTTGAGGAAGATGATGAAGCTTGGCTGATGGGGGTGTCGTTTGTGCGCGTAGGGGTCGTCAGAGGGGTGGGGTTGTTTTCCGTCAAGGCTGCACAGCCTTTGCGTTTTTTGTTTTTGGTTCTTCAGCCTTCTTTGTTATCCTCATGCGCAGCTTTTGCTGCTTTTCGTTCCAGCTTCTTAAACGAAGAAGCTTTCTTCGTTAGTGAAGAAAGAGATCCGATGGGGGGTCCTTTTTGGCGCAGCCTTTTCCTTTTTTTTCTTCCTTTTTGTCTGTTCTTTTTCTTCTTTTTATATTGTAGATTGTGGATTTTAGGTTAAGGAGTATGAGACTAGGAATTATGGGCTTGGCAATTGTGGGCTAGGTCTAAAATTAGGCTTTAAAAAATGGGTTGCTCGAGCCCAAGTTCTATTCTTTCGCTGCGAACGAGATTAAAAATACGGGCCCATTTATTAATTATTCCTACTATTCAAATAATTATTAAAATAAAACTAACCATTAAAACAAATATATTTTTGGTATTTTCAAAATCATATTAAAATAAAAATATGATACTATTGTTGTATATATTTTTTTTAAGATTTTTTTATTTTTAGATTAAAAATGACTACAAGACATTAATGAACCTATTTTTGTGATTTTTTATTTTCTTGTAATAAAATTAAAGTAAAAGAGTCAAAATTACTTAAAATATCTATATTATGCCTAAATTAAATATTTTACGCTAATATGTAAAAGATCTTGGGGAGGGTCAAAAATCACATGTCTACAATGGTAAAAATATTTTAAATTTTTTTTCCTATAGAATCAATAGCTACTTCATAAATTTTCCCACCCTCTGAAATATAAGCAAATAAATTTGCAAGATCTGCAAGATAAACTAAATAGTTCGAAATAGTAGGATAATATTGCCCAGAAAATTCATGAAATCTTTCTAAAAAATCTACAAGCATTTTAACATTAGCCCAATCCGCATTTGTAAGGTGTTCATCATCACTTACATGAGCATTAAACATTGAGTTTATGTGATTTCTATATTCATATACAACAACTAAACTTTCATACATGTAATTTCATCTAGTTAGACAAGGTTTAGGAACCTTTCTTTCTCTTAGGCCAAATTCATCGCATCTTTTAAAATATTCTCTAAGTTTACTTCTACGGTTTGAATAAAAAATTTCAGTTAAGAGCCATTTTAACCTTTTCAATTTCAACATTTAAAATTCTCATACTATTGTCACACCTCCTTTTTCCGCGCCCGGGAGGACGCAGGGGGAGTTTTTTCCAATTAAAGGACAATCGAAACGGGATTGGTTTAATTATTTCAGAGTCGCCACTTGGGAGATTTAGGGTGTCCCAAGTCACCAATTTTAATCCCGAATCGAGGAAAAAATAATGACTCTATATTACAGTCTGCGTACCAGAAATCCGGATAAGGAATTCTGTTAACCCNACTATCACCCATAATTAAATGGTAAATATGACAAATACATCTAATATGAAAAATATTACTAAATGCAGGATTTAGTGTAGTGGTAAGAGATGCTACATCATTAGTGTTACTAGTAGTATTATTCATTGAAATTGGCATTATTTTATCACTAATGCAAAAATATCTACAAATATCTGTAACCGTGCTAGAAATAAACTGCCCTGTGTGAAGTGAATTAATTATTCTATAAGCAATAATGCGCTTTTGCATTATCCACTCTTCATCAATCTAATGACTTGTAACAGTAAGATAATCGCAATCATTATCATTTCTATCAATATCAGTAATAATAGCAACACGATAATTAATATGAGTAAAGAAATAACGCAAATATTGTTCATATTCATATTTATATTTATAAATATTGCTCTTTACGATTGTGAGAGGCCTTCCTTTATAAGTAGGATTAAAAAATCTTCTAATATAATGCACAAAGTGGGGATTAGACAAAAAATTGTAGGGTAAGCACATAACAGTAATCATTTTTGCCAATTCTTCCCTATCTTTTCTTGGGTCATAATNGAATTAGTTGGGTTAACTTGAGCAACAGGACTAGTGGGTGTATCATCATCCGATTGTGTTTCATCTAAATCTATTTCCTGCTCATCTTCTTCATCAATAGTTGGATTACCATAAAGAGAATTCATATATTCATGATCTAAGTTTTCACCACCTCCAACATTATGCACATATTGACTCTACGTAAATTGTAATAAAGTATTATCACTATTAAGAATAGGAGCAGGTGGAGGGCGGGTATGGGGTTTGGGTAGGGGAGGTCGGGGAATTAGAGGAGGAATAGTTTGCCACTAGATTCACCACTCTTGGGTTTTCCCTTATTTTTACTAAACATTTTTTTTAAGGAATAGGCCATCTTATTTATAATTATACAAAGTAATTAAATAAAACAAACAAAACTATAATATTAAAATTAAAGAGTTAGAACGAGTTTACCGAATTGACGAACAACTTGTTGAAATTAATTATCGTTGAAGACTTGAATACTTCAATTCACCAACTTTACAATTTCTTACACAAGTTGCAACAACGAAGTAACCTATTTTAGAAGAAAATTAGAGAGAGATTGATGATTTGGTGAAGAAAAATGAAAGAATTAGGGGGTATTTATAGTTGAAAATAAATAAAAAGTGTAATTATAAAAAGTTTAGGGGGTTAAATGACTATTTTATAAATAGCCAACGACTATTTTGGCAGCAATAACAGCTACATTTTAAATGGGCAACGGTCAGAAATTTAATTGAGAATTTTTATTTTATTTTTAAAATTAGTCGTTGGTAACCGGTTGAGACAGTTTGGGACCGGTTGAACCGACCCACTTAGGAGCCGGTCCCGGGCCCAAACGGTCCCGGGCCTAACGAGCCCCTACTATGAACCGGCCCACATGGGCCTGTATATCTCCTTTGTGTCGGGCTTAAACGGGTAGGACCGTTTAGGCCCACTACCCATATGGGCTCGCGGGCCTGGGCAGGTCCTGGGCCTAACCGGCCCACTTGCAACCCTTAGGGGTCATTTGGTTAGAATACGATTTATACCGGTATAAGTTATGTCGGTATAAGTTATATTGGGATAAGTTATGCTGTAATTAGTTATGCTGGAATTGTTATTTATTCATTGTTTGGTATGTTGTATTAAGAATGACAATTGCATAATTTCTAAAAAGAAGGTATAAGTTATACCGATGCTAATTATCCCACCTTCTATAAGGTATAAGTTATCCCAGTGTTAAAATTAACACCGGGATAACTTATATCTGGCTTGCTAACCAAACAGAATATTAAGGTGGTATTAAATTCTTATACTACCCTTATACCTCACACCAAACGACCCTTAATCTACTATAATAAATAAATGCCTAAATTTTCATTTTTTTTCCAGTCCTTTGCCATGCTGTACCCATTGCTTCTCTGGTTTTCACTTTTCACCAGGTTAAAAGGACTGTTTTAACCTCCTTTCCATATCTTTTTTTTAAAAAAAAAAAAAATTAAACAAAAGAATTCCTTCCCATATCTTCAAGATCATTCTTTGCTATCTACCTCGGAACCTCCGAATTCTAATATTTTCAAGTTCTTTTTTTTTTTTTTTGTTTTCTTTGCNACAATTCCTTCCCATATCTTCAAGAACATTCTTTGATATCTACCTCGGAACCTCCGAATTCTGATAATTTTCAAGTTCTTTTTTTCTTTTTCATTTTCTTTGCTGCTGCTATTAAATTACTTGGGGACTCGTTCTTCGTTTTTGGTATTTGAGGTACAGTAATATTTTTATGCTGAGAAATTATGAGCTAATTACCAAAATGTCTACATTGTGATTATATTTTATTTTCTTGATTTTATATTTCCATGTTTTGTATTGAATTTATCATTACTTTCTTGTACCATCTTTGTTTAATTAGTCCATGCAATCTTTTATTTTATGTTAAATGACTATTTGATGTTTTAGCTTCTGTGATAAGCAAGAAATGGTATTTGAAAAAAGAAAAGAAGAATAAATTTCTAATCTTTTTCAGTTGGCTATTCAATTGAAGGTTGTTTTTGCAACAACATTGTTCCTTAACAGTGACTGTAGTATTGATTTGATTAAGAATGAATGGAAAATTAGTTTTGAGCTTCTTTTTATCATTTTCATGATTTTAGTTCATGGACATGAACTGAAATGGGGAAATGAAGAATATATAAAATTAACCACAAGAAAAGTTAATTTATTTAATTACTCAATTTTCAAAGTGGAGGCAAAAGACACTAGGTTATTTCGTTCCATCAGTCTAAGCTTTGATGGGCAGAGTTATCCGGTACTTGTGAGTGGAATAGTCGAGGTGCGCAAGCTTGGCCAGACACCACCGTCATTAAAAAAGTTATTTTGGTTACTTTATTTAAGGGGCTAGCCTGACCTGTGAGTTCTTTTGTCAGCTGTTTTTGTAGTCCTAAGTAGCTATCAGGAATCTTGGTGTGATTTTCAGTTGATTTTTTATTTAGCTAACCGCGGAAAGATAGAAATCCATGGCAGCAAAAATTTTGTTAGTCTTGTATTTTCTCTTCGGTTTTCTGATTGGTTTGCTTGTTGTTGCTCCTTCCTTTTATCGTTCCTGAGCCGATGTTTTACTGAAAACAGCCTCTTTGTCTTCTTAAGGTTAGGGGTAAGGTTTGCGTACACACTGCCCTCCCCAGACCTCGCTTGTGGGATTACACTGGGTTTGTTGTTGTTGTTGTTTGCCTCTTTGAGCTGTTAGTCCTTTTAGGATTTCTGCTAAACTTTTATCAGTTTGGCTGCGCAATTACACTTGGCCACTTTTCTCTCTTATCTAATTGAAACATAAGGACTAGGTATGTGAGTTTTATCACCCTAAAGTTATGGGTTTCATGTCAACACATAGGTTTTCTAGTGGTTTATGTGGAACAGTGGAAGGACTTTTGGAATTGAAAGAAACACAAACTGCAGTCGAAACGTGGCTAAACATATTATGAAAATTATCCAAGATTTCATGATTTTGAAATGATATTCATCCTACATGCCGGTAACAAGGTTAACTAATGTAGACATACTCATTAATTAGGTTTTCTAATTTAGATTCAACCAACTAGGTCTAATTGCAACACAACCACTGATTGATTTAAAGATCGTCAATAGGAATATGATAGATAAGCTGTTAAAACCAACATTAATAAAACACTCTCTAGATTCAACTACTCACTTTCCAAGTTCTCTTGATTTGTTCTCATTTAAGGAAGAAGGTCAAGTTTTTCTGAGAGGAGCCCAGATGGTAAGAATATCAGTTCTATCGTGTTAGAGGGAGAATATGTTTCTGTGGAGTGCTGTGCTAAGTAACCAGTTTTCCAACAGCTCATTGGGTTTGCGATGAATACTAATCAGTTTTCGCAATGTAGTCAACTGCTGAACTTTTATCCTTTAGTTGCACAGACTCTTCACTTTCAGTGCCGCACCCGTCTTGACACGACATAGGTGTGGGTGCGGGATCCGTACGGGATCCGATCAACCGATTTTGGGTACTTTGACCAAAATTGAGCTGAGAAATTTGGGACAAATACAATGATTTTCGAGATCAAAACAAAAGCTAGGGTGAAATTTAAGAAAATAGAATACCTTGTATATTGAAAATTCTATGTTGGTCCTTTTCCTTTTATATCCTTCTCATATTCTCCTCTTGATCAATAGTTTCTCCTCCTCGGAATACCTTGTAGTTTGGCACATAATGTCTCATATTTTTATAACTCTATTTTTAGATATTCTTAGCCGAACCCCCCCCCCCCC